TGCTTTGGGGACATGTATCGATGGGCTACCCGCGATGATTGCAAGTTTTTACGCCAGTAGTGTGGCTATCCTAGCCGTAGATCCCGGCATGCACACAGTCAGCACAAACGCGCGACAAGGGGGGGGTCGCTTGTACGAAACAACACGGTACTACAGCGCCATTTGCACAGTGGCTAGAGCGGACATGGCCCTCCGTACAAGGCCCCGAAAGCCGGGTGAGGCTGTGCCACAACGGGCATATGCTCACGGCCACCTTGTAGTAAATTCACGCACCTAACCAAACTACACCGGTGCCCTAGCCACATGCCTATTGGCCCCGTCCACTCTCATCTCACCATGCTGCCTGATTAAAGCATCGTGACCCCCTCCCCATCATCCGCTTGCCTGTGGCTTGACTTACGGACCAACCCCGCTCACTCAGGCACCTAATCGAGACATTTCCTTTTTGTCATTAAACACCCAGTGCGTCAGTCGAACAGAAAGAGATATATACACCGGAACAGGAGCCACTAACTCGCCTCTAGACACTCTCGACCTGTCCCTATCACCACTGTACCACGCAAAAGCCCAGTCAACCTATAATACACCCGTCTTGACATTCCTGTCCAACAACATTCACTTCTACTCAACCTTATCCACTCTTTCACCTTCCCACTCAGAGGCCGAAAATAAAAACACCAATACCAACCACCATTCCAACCTACTCTCATTAACCATGTTCCGCACACTCACCACCCTCACCCTCCTCCTCGCCTCCTCCCTCGCCGCTCCAACAAACACCCTCACACACCACACTTCAGACCTCCAATGCCGCTGCCTCACCTTCTCCACCAGCGCCGCACCAACCCACTGCCCCTACCAAGAACTCCTGACCCTAGACTGGGACGCCGCCCTCTCCCTCGCCACCGCGAACGACCTCAAACTCCAGTTCGCCAGCGACGCCACAATCGCCAAAGTCCTCGCCATCCCCACCCCTTTAGACCCCAGTATCCTGGATGCCGTCCACCAGGGCAAGACGCTCCCGCTCGACCCGGCCGAGCAGGTGCGCAGTGAGAATCGCATGATTTGCGGGTTTGAAGATGATGTTGAGAGGGTGGAGCGCTGGGAGGATGGCGTGGGTATGATGGGGGCTGAGGTGCATTATGTGGGCACGGTGCTGGGGTTGTTCATGGTATTCTTTGTCGCTTATCTTGTTGCCGAGTATCTTTGGACTGTGTAAGTTTTCATTCCCCTTTGTCGCTGTTTTTCTTTGGGAGAGGGATGGGAAGAACTAACGGGATTATCAACAGGTGCTTTACGAGGACACGCGGCATTCGACTCGAGGGAGAAGAGAAGGCGTTGACGGTCGAGTGCGATGGATTGATGCCCGAGCAGAGGTGAAGATGGCGAAATTTGCATGGACAGATGAAAGAAGCATTTTGGCTCTGGAGAAGGAGTCAAATGCATATGACGATATGACCTCAACACACTACACACTACACGCAACCAGCCCTTGGGTTCTCCGGTTCGATGTGGAACACGGCGATCCGATACAGCACCACCCTACCCACCGTCCGCCCGCCCGCTATACAACACACTTTTCGGCATCACATGGACACTCCCAACCGGTCTTGCCTTCCACCGACACGGGATATCGGGTGTCCGGTCGTCCTGCATACTTACCACCAACCTTTTCTTTACTAGACGGGGGAAGGGGTTCAACCATTTCTACGCACCGGTGGAGAAAAACGGAAATGATACAGTTAGGATTAGGATTGGGTACAAGGGATATATACCACAAGGCATACTATGTAGCCTGGCAGGGTTGCGTATGAGAGATTCCATCATGTATGATAAAAAGCGGATTTACTACAATATACCAAGTTCCTTTGTACATCTCGATCGACATTGCAGTGTTGGAAGACGTGGAGAAGCACGAAATGTGATGGTATTGTTGGATAAAAAAAAGGTATTAACGTGTGAACGTATGATGAATTCGATTTGGATATATATATAGAGAGAGAGAGGGAGATGCATGGGAACAAGTTCGCTCGAGATATCAAAAAAAAACACGGATGCAAGACAAGAGGAACAAAACTTCGAGAACCACACGTTTATGCACAATCTGCAGGAGGAGAAAAGACCTTTCTCCTTTTCTCAACTCCCAGTAAACGAAACAGCGCGAAGGGACAAGTTTAAAAAAAAGTAGACACGACCATATCAAGAGAAAATGCGACGACTGAAAAAGATAATGTTATAAACAGGGTGTTACCAAACCGCACAGTGGAGACCAGGAAAAAAAAAATGCTTAGGTAACAAGAAGATCCAAAAAGAAGAAGCAGTCCATATCTACTATACTCGTCCCAAATCTAAGCGCTCGAAAAAGAAGAAGAAGAAGGGGAAGAAAGAAAAAAAGAAGTCAATCCCTCAGGAGACCCTCTTCAGAGAAGAAAAACCAGTGGGACCAGCGACCAACAAGCTCCCCTCTTGGGTGCAAAATGTACATGTTCAAGGTAACATATACAATCCACCTAACAAGGAAGACAGGTAAAGTGTGCCGGCTACGTTGGCCAGGCGGCGCTGGTCCTCACACATGTACAACGAAAGTTATATGTGAAAAGAAAGAGAAAAAAAAACCTGTTTCCCAAACCCAAAGTGCCTTTACATCTAGGCAGACAGTACATATGTATCCTCCTCATCTGCTGCGCGGCGAATTTGGAAAGGCTGGAAGCCGTTGTTCTTGCCCTTGTGGGCATGAACGGCCAATCCCATCTCACGCATGCGCTCTGCACCACGACCAGGGGCAGGTCGCTTCTCCTTTGTGCCTTTGCGATGTTGCTTTCTATACAGCTTCTCCTTGCGGCGCTGCTTCTTCTTCTCGAGCCCGACCTTGATGTCAATGGCTCGGCGCACAGGCATGTCAGCGGCATCGTCATCTTCTTCCTCAAGATCAAATGGATTCCTCATGGTGATGGACGTGCGTGGAACAGAGGCAGAGACGGTAGGCATAGGTCTCTCGGCAATGCCGCCAAAGCGTATCGAGATGTCGCTACGCTGGCGAGCAGTCAAGGGGTTGACAGAGCCGCGGCGAGTGGGTGGTGGTGATCGAAGACGCATGGGAGGTGGAGGGGAATGCAGCCGCTTGGGAGAATTACCAAACAGCTTGCGTGGCGGTGGAGAGCGATGCACGGCACGCTTGGCGGGCGGCGGTGACCGCAGGCGCTTTGGTGAAGGTAGAGGCGAACGCTTCTTGCTGATGTCTTTGCGGCGACCGCGCAAGTCGGCATCTGGGTCCATGCGACCATGCATCATCAGGTGGTCGGTCTCTGAGGCTCGGTTCTCGCATTCAGAGACTTCGTCCTCTTCGTCATCCGGAAGCTCGGGATCCGATGTGGGAAAGGTAGGATCAATGTCTTGTGGAGTAGGCTTGTGCTTGGCGGCACGTCGGCGTTCTAATGTCGACATGTATGCCTCCTCTGCCGGCCTATCTTCATCGAGGGTACCACAAACAAAGTCGGTGCTGTCGGGTAACTCGGGGCTCGGAACACGGATGTTGACCGGCCTCGACTTCTTCCGCTTTGGTGGTTTGTCCATGATCTTGAGGCCATCTCGGCTTTCGAGAGATCCAATTGACGACTCAGACACGGTGCGGGTAGGCTTTAGGCGAAGCTGTTCCAGGTGCTCCACCGATGTCGCAGCGGTTGATGCTCCAGGGGCCCACCAATTGTAGTCGGAACCTGCATCACTTTCGTCATCGGAGCCAGCAAATCCGTTCTCGTCATCCGTCTGGAAGCCCTCGTCAGTGGTTTCGCTACGCGCATCACTATCATCGTGGTCTTCATCAAGCAGGTCGTCGTCATCATCATCGTCGTCCATTTCGATATTGTCGTCGTCGTCTTCTTCATCTTCATCTTCCTCTTCCTCGATCGCCTCCTCTTCTGCAACCTCCTCGCCTAGCTTGCGTAGGTTGTTCTCGATTTTGAGCGTGTCTTGGACTGTTAGTCTGCTTCGGTGGCAAGTGACTTCTTGAGTCCACTCCTCAACCTCCTCTTCCGAGCTAGCAAACTCATGGAAGCGGTATGCCTCACAACGAGCTAGATCGGAGTTGGCACTCAAGCGGCGGGTCCGGTCGACTGGGCGTGCTTTCCGGACGCTGACAGGTGAATTGTTACGGACTGTCGAGTCAGAGTCGCGGTGGACTTTTTGGGTTGCTTTGGGAGACGAAAGGATCCGGTGTGGTGGTGGGGCCGGGCTGGCCATCCGACGGGGTTTCGCTGCGACAGGCTTTAGAGGCGCTTCTTCTGAAGGCTTGGATGGGCACGCAAACTTGATGGTGCTGACACGTTTTGGAGGCTCTTCTGAGGCAGGGATAGCGGCAGCGGCAGGAGCCGGTTTCGAGGCAACCTCCTCTTCTGGCTTCTTCTTCTTCTCCTCCTTAGCGCCACATGCAAACATGATGCGTCTCTTCCTTCCGAGAACTGCCTCAATGTTCTGCTCGGTATTTTGTGGGGGCGCAACCTTGTGCACTGGAACGGTGTTTTCGCCATCGTGGGAGGCGATTGAGATTGGTAGCTCCAATAGCTTGTTGTTGAACATGGGCAACATGCCGTGAAAGGACGCTGTAGGGAGCGGAGGGCTAGGTGTGCAGGGTCGAGTGCCAGGACTTGTGAAGCCCCCGTCACTTGTAAGATCAGTAGTACCGCTGTTGTTGCTCCATGTCGAGATGCACGACATGCCGCGGACTGGACTCGCGTCGGACCGGCTGTCAACAGGGGAGCTAGTAGTAGATCCCGATTTGAGGGCCGAGGTGAGCAACGATTCTTTGCGGTCGCAGACGGGTTTTGATTTTGTAAAGGACGCGGTTGTGGTGTTTTGGAGTACCAAGGGCGTAGGGCGCTGCGCGCGGGGTTCGGGCGGCTCATCAAGGTCGCCCATGGTCTCGTCCTCGGCAGTCATGAGGGGTGGCGATGCTGTAGCAGACATGGTCTGTGGCGTGCTTACTTGCAGTGCGCCTTGTTTGCTTATGTGATCCTGGTCGTTGGCCATGAGGTTCTAAGGCTGACTAATGGACTGTCAAAGGACTTTTGGGGTGTGAAAGCAGAAATAGGTCTGGTGATGTGGTGTGAAGGAAACGTCTGGGTGGTGATGCGATGATTGATGAGGTTTGTCAGGCTGGCCGCTGATGGTGGAAATGTTGGAAAAAAGCGGCCGAACCAAGGCGTAGAATTCCGTCAGGCTCTACAGACGCGTGGTGGTGGTGGTGGTAGTGGTAGTAGTAGTAGTAGTAGTAGTAGAAGAGGTGTGTGTGTGTGAGTGTGTGCTAGCGGAGACTATAATGGCAGGTTGGACGAAAGTGTGGGGGGCGCCCCAAGGAGACGGTGTTATAATATCTCAAGCAACATGGTGGAGAAGAGTAAAGTTGAACCTGGGGGTTGGAACAATGGACGAGCTAGAAGACGTATCAGAACCAGGCAGTGTCAGGCAGTGTGGAGAGGGAAGGGGGTACCTAGTGACGAGGTCAAACCCAGGGCGACGACGTGTGGCGACGGGCCGTAGTTGGTGGATGGGGGCCGCAGACAGGCGGTTGCTAAGAGAAATGGGGCTTGGCAGATGGCGTGGACAAAGGTGGCAGAAGGCCGTCAAGTCAGACGACTTATGCGCACTTGAGAGCTGCGACAGTAGCGGCGCGGACGGGCGAGTCGGAGCGCAGTGAAGGGGGGTGGGAGGGGGAGAGAAAGGAATTTGATGTGCAATGGCGTCTCGGCACCGATTTGGGGTTGGCAGAGAGAAACAGTGGGTAGGGGACGCCAGTGCTCGGCTTGGCTGTGCCGCTTTGGCCTGGCAAGAATAGTGACTTTTTTTCTGGTAGCGCAGTTAATGGCTGGGACGCACGGCGCGCCTGTAATTTAATGCTTACAGTGGCCGTTGTGTGCGTGTGCGTGCTGGCGAAGTCGAAAGACACGGCAAGCGTTGGCAGACGGCGCCGTCTCACGCTGTCTAGGGCACCGCCAGGCGCGAAACGCAATTGCATTGCGCAAGTCAGTGTTTCGGCCGCCCATGCCGGAAGACTTGACGTCGTCTGTCGTCGAAGCAGCAGCAGCAGCAGCAGCAGCAGCAAGACCCTGAATTGCGGGCAGCGTCAGCATGTGCCTCTTCCTTGACGACTCCGCTGTGTCGTCTCCGCCAAACACGTGCATGGCGGCCTCTAGTGGGTGCATGTCTATGCGTCGACTGGAGGGCCAAATGCAAATGCCTCACTCTGCACACGCCCTGTTGCTCGTATTTGAAGCTCGGCTCTAGAGTAGTAGATGCATACAGAGGACCCGTATGTCTGGATGTAGCATGTACAACCAACCTTAGTTACTATGTACGTAGATACACGGACTCCACCAGCGCAACCTCACCGCTGCCACTCACCGCTCCCTGGCAGGCCCATGGATGCGCCCTCAAAGTCCCTGGATTTGGGGATCCATCATCTGACAAGTCCAAAGCCGCCGGGCTGTCGTTTGACCAACCAGGTCGTCCTGTCCAGTTGAGCCCTCGCACGCCGTGCATCAAGGCGCATTGCCGTGTGGTGCAGTTGCAGTTGCAGTTACAGGGCAGCACAGCACAGCACAGCACATGCCCGGCCGTAGGGCTCGATGGAGTCTGGGGCAGCGTGGGGGAGGTTTTGTTTGGCGCATCCGTGTTTTTTCATCCTTGCCGCCGCTGCCAATTTTCACAAGCAAGCGCCCCAACCGGCTTGCGGGGACACTTGGCCTGCCGCTCTCACGCTCGCTGTCCAACACCACCACGACCCCTCCTCCGTCCATGATCCATTCATCCGTCTGGTCTGCATCTTCACTGCACTTGGCTGCACATGCCTCTTCTGACATCGCCCTTGCCTGCCAGCCGCTGCAGCCCTGACCGGACATTTTTCTTCTTTATTTTGTACTTTGCGTTACCAAGCCGTCCATATGAACGTGTGCGTGTGCGCGCGTATGTGCATGTACTTGGACAGTAAGTATGTACGCAGTAGTACTTATTACCCCACGTAAGAGCAAACGTACATGGGGCGGTACTTGATACACCCGGCTACAACCGCGGCTTCCTCGTTGCAGACAGCCGCCCCGAAATAACGCGCTGCATTCATTCCAATGCCCTGGCAATCCCCGACCAGCACCCCGGTGCAACATGACGTAAAGCCAAAGACAAAACATGAACCGTCGTCATTGTCATCATCATAATCACCCTATGTCTCTTGCTCACGCGTGATGTCCGCTTCCGCTTCTCGCTGCAAAAATAAAAGACTACTACTACCTTCCACTCGTCAGCATGCATAGCCCCACGTGTACAGCAGAAAAGTGTGGAGTAGCTCGTCACCTATCCCTGTTCCACCAACCAAATCTCGAATGCTACAGCAGAATGCCGTCTCAAGCGTCGCCATACTTCCCTGCTCAGCCACACGGTATTTCCCTTTGGCGCACGGATCAAAGTGCTCCTGACGCAACTGCAACCATGGTCGGACGTTGTGTTTGTGTGCAGACCAGAGCACCATCATCTTGTTCAACAGGTAAACAGTGCAAGCAAACAAACAAACAAACAAATACAGTTCATGAGAATGCATGTCACACAAAACAAGCAAAGCCAGCAAAACACATGCACGTTCCTTCCTATCCAGCAATTACACTACACCCTCCACTAGCCACATGTCAACACAACCACAAAATATACGCGCGCACAGACCTTCTGTCGCTCATCATCCAAACATCCATCATCCCTACTCCCCAAAACACTTCGCCTTCTTTCAACCTAAAACCATTAGCCTCCAAAACACAACTCGTTATCCGCTCCCTCCCGACAACCACTCGCCAGTCTGTACCAAAATAACATTTCCCTTCCCCCCCCCCTTATCTCCCAAATAAATAAATAAACAAATGATCATCCCTTCCTTGGCAATATCTAAACTTTTGCCCGCACAACCGTCCGCTCAAGTCCGCTCCAGTCCGCTCATTCAATAAGACTCGGACAAAAAGCCAAGTCCCGCCAAGTCCTTTACCCCCCAAAACTCTATACCTTTTCTCTCCTTTTGACATTTTTACAAAGTTTGGTTTTCAGTGTTGCGTCCTTGTGACTTTCTCCTGCTCATCTCCCCTTTTTTTCTTTTGGAAATCGGTCGGCAAAGTTCGGGATACAACCATCACCACCACTATAGACAAAACTACGTGCACACACACACACACAACGCAACTTTTTCTTGTCAAGAATGGAATATTTTTCAACACTAACAAATGTATAATGACACACACACATACATACACACAGATGTGAAGGGAAAAAAAATCTATTTCTGAATTGGCATACATGTGTTTTAACATTGAGTTGATGATGAAAGAGTCTCCCCCAAAAATAGGGGGTTAAATAATAAGTGAAGAACAATAGATTTACTATTTGCAGGTACATGGGCCCAGAAAAGACTAGTTAATAGTATATTTCATGCGAAATCCCAGTTGCACCCCCCCCCCCCCATATACATCCATGCATTATCCCTTCCAAACCTCATTTCACATGTCAGAGTCAAACAGAAATAAGACCGATGTACCGTACCAGAAAACCCCTACATCCATCCATCTATCCATATCCCCTCCCCTACCCTCAACTCCTCGCCCTTCCGCACACAGACCCCCATGGCCCCACGACGCACTTCCCCGAGACCTGTAGTAAGAAAGATCGCCCACCCCATTATCGTGCCTAGCTCTCACCTCCTACATGCCTTACTTACATTTACCCCCCATGTGCATGCTACCTAACCCCCTGCCCCTAGCATTCCAGTACCAACTCCCTTTCCCACTTCTCCCTCACAAATCGCACTGTCCGTGCAAATACCGCCTCGCGCTCACGTGCCTCATGCTCCGGCACAAAGGAATTGGGGAACTGCGTCCACCCATGCCTGCAACCCGGTGCATGCCAAATCTCCAGTCCGCCATTCTTGGCATTGGAACATGCATTCGAGCTCGATTCTTGGCCTTCGCCATCATCATCATCATCATCACCGCCCGTCGTGCCGTCCCAATCACCTGCTCGGCCATCGCCAAAGCGTACGGGGCCCGTCCAGTTGCTGCTGTTCAGCTTGTCAACCCACACATCACTCTGCACCGCTAGCGAGTCCTTCTCCGGTAGCACAAGGAAAATAGCTGCATTCTTTTGGATATGCTCTGGGTCGTTGAGACCAGGGCTAGCCCGAGGATGCGCCCGTAGTTTCTTGGGCAGGTACGTTGGTCCCAAGATAGAGAACAGACCTGGCTGTCTTGGCTTCTCAACGTGGTGGTCGTCTGGTTTGAGCGCGCTGGGCATGGGCTTCCGCGGGCGTTCGTGGGGCAGCAGCCGTACGTCGAGAGACGGGTAGAACAGTAGCAGTGGGAGCAGTCGCGGTTGCACTTCGGGTGGTGGGAGGAGCGATGGCCATGATTGGAATGGATCGTCTAGGATTGTTGCTCTACGGTTTGCCGGGAGCGTCGGTGACATGCAATCGTGACCCGCAGGCCCGAGTGTTTGTGATTCCATCATTCCCATCTGCGGACAGGGCGGAACCGATATCGCCATGTTGAGCGCAATGTTGCCTCCGGCTGAGAAACCGGATATCGCCAGATGTGTGGGATCAAGCACCATATCCGTGACATGCTCAATGTGTGGAAGAACCGGCTCTTTTTTGTTCTTCCCCTCCAGCACATTCGTCCGTACCATGGAGTAGTATCTCTGCACCTCTTGCCGCAGGACCTTGCCTGCTTCTGATGTCCCGCTCGTATCTAGAATCGCAGATAGCACATCCTCTGCATCGTGAATCGCCGCGGGGAACTGGTGGAACGGTCCGATGCGATACGACACGCTCAGCACCACGGCCCCCAGCTCACGCGACATCATTGATGCATACGGTGCCTGTTCCAGCGGCGAGCCCATGATGAAGCCGCCTCCATGCACTACAACACGCACCTAGAGTCAGCACACTTGCCACAAGCATCCTGAGGTACACGGGTCCTACACACAGTCCAAAACAACCGGTACATGCCATTCGCCCGTCTCTTTCCGCTGCTGCTCACCCTCAGCATCCGCATCCACCGGCGCCGGCGGCACAAACGTGTACGCGTAGATGAGATGTCCCTTGCGGCTCGGTAGCGCAATCAGGAATGGATGCGGACCCTTCGGCGACGTCAGGTGCAGGATGGATAACGGCACGAAGCGCGGGAGTTGTACGAGCGCCGTCCGCCATTGGATGTGGAATGGGAGCCGGAAAAAATACGCGATCGAGTGCCAAAAGCTGCCCATCGTCGTGGCCGCATAGGGATGAGTTGCGCGATGCTCAGAGCATGCTGCGCGAGGTTCGTCCGACGGCGAGAAAAGGTGCGCTGCGAGTGCTGAGTGAGCAGTCGCCTACGTACGACGTAGAGAGGCGAAGCATGGCGTGTCCCAGCTGCCCAGATTGAGCGCGCTGAAGAAAGGCGGATTCGTGACGTCAGTTCATGAGCCATGTCATCCACAATCGCCATTGCAAGGCGGGAATTATCAATAGTAGTCTTTACCATGCCCCTGCTAGCTGGGCTAAAGCTTCAACGGGTGAAGCTTTGCAAGGATGTCTAGTAGTGCCGAGGCAGAGCACAACTTCTTCATCAGAAGTGGACCCCCTTTGGCATTTTATGTGGTCCCAACCGTCTCCTAGAATTGACTAGTATCTAACCTGACCACACTGCAAATACACCTGCAACCAATGGAGCTTCACGATTCTGCATCTACTACCCACGTTTTGGTGGCTAGATACGAACAAAACACTTCTTTCATCCTTGAACTCTCACGATCACGCATAGCTCATTCATCAGCTTCTCCACATATAATTGACATTTTGTCTACGTGGACAGGCTACTATAGTCTCCTTCCCACAAATGATCCCATGATCCGCTCCTGCTGAAATCCCTTTGTGAAATCTCCATCAAAGAGATGCTGCTACCGCACCATGCCGTGAAGCCTTAACCATGAGCCCATCAAGTACAGTCAGCAATGAGCCGCATCGATATAGCTATCGAGCACAGTCGAAGAGTGCGCAAGCTACATGGTACCTCTGGATAGCTCACCAAGACGCAACCTTGTTGTCAGCATCTGCAGAGAAGCCCTCACCATCAAAACCCCCAGCACTACCAAAGCCAGCAGCTGCATCGTTACCAAAGGTGGCACCAACGTCAAATCCGCCAGCCTCTCCGCCAAAACCACCACCAAGGCCATCGTCAGACTCGTCGTCAGTGCCATCATGCCACTCAATCGCCGACGGGTTTTGAGGCTTGAACTCCTCAAGGAAGTCGCTCACCTCCTGCCCCGATTCGATGAGAACTTTGACCAGATCTTCAGCAATATCCTTGTTGTCGTCGTTGAAGAATGAGGTGGCTTTTCCTTCGTTGCCAATACGCGCGGTGCGGCCAATGCGATGAACGTACTCAGTGATGCCACCGTGCTGGCTTGAGGGTAGGTCGTAGTTGATGACATGCTTAACGTTGGCGACATCGAGACCACGAGCAGTAACACCAGTGGCGACCAGAATAGGGCAACGGCCAGTCCGGAACGAACGACTATTTATACTTTTAGTAGCAGTTCATCTCAGCTAGGCAGTGAGTACTTACAGAGCATCCTCGCGCTCACGCTGAGTGCGATCTGAATGGATTGAAGTGACGGGCAAGCCTTTGTTGTACAGAAAGTCGTCGACCTTATCGCATTTGTACTTGGTGTTGACGAAGATGAGGGAACGCTGTGGGCCACCAGAAAAGAGCAAATCGAAGAGCGCTTCGTTCTTATCAGTTTCCTCAACGAAGCGAATCTCCTGCTTGATGTTGCGATGAGTGCTGCCGACCCTTCCTACTTTGATTCGAACAAAGGCTTCTTCCATGTACTCCTTGGCAAGCCTACGAGCAGCTTTGGAGAAGGTGGCAGAGAGCATGACAATGGTATGATCCGCATCGGAGTTGACGTCTGCAACAATCATCAGCAAATCGAAAAGTAAAAGAGTCGGTAAATCATACCAGCACCCGAGAACACTTTCTCCATGGCTTCCTCCCAGCCGCTCGAAAGTAACTCGTCAGCTTCGTCGATGACGGTGAACCTGTTAGCTTGTCAGTGCATAAATTCCATGAAAAGTAATCTAGTTAGCGTACTTGAGGCGGCGGAGCGACAGGAGATTGTTGTTCTGCATAAAGTCCATGAGGCGTCCTGGAGTGGCAATCAGGATGTCACAGCCCATCTCGAGCTGCTCGCGCTGATTCCTAGTGGGAGCACCTCCATACACAACGCAAGGGCGCAACATTGTACGGTAGCACAGGCGACGAGTCAGGTCGAACGTCTGAGTAGCGAGCTCGCGGGTAGGACACACAACCAATACCAGAGGCTCGGCACGGACCCGGTCTGTAAGAGGGTTGTAGCGGGCTGGGTTGGGTCGAGGTGCCGCCAACTGGCGAGCTTTACCCATGAGCTTTGAGAGGATGGGAATCAGGAATGCAGCAGTCTTTCCAGATCCTGAGCACTGTCAGTGATGTTTCGAGTAACGCAATGCCGACGATACTTACCAGTTTGCGCAATAGCGACCACGTCGTTCCCAGTCAGAATGGCTGGGATACAATACGACTGGATAGGAGTTGGAGCACCATATTGGCACAACTTGACATTCTTAAGCATGACCGGGTGCAGACCAGCATCTTCAAACTATGCCAATGATTAGTACAGATTATTGAAGTGAGAATGGGTATCTTACGTTGCGAACAGGGTTGATCTTGGTAGGGCCTTGAACAGTGACTTCGAATGAGAGAGCGCTGATCGCACTGCCGGCACGCTGCAGATACTCATCCTGGAAGAGTATCTTCTCCAGCTCAGGATTGGGCTCACCGACATCGCCAAACTCATCATCCCACTGATAGACGGCGGCATCGGACAGCCAGGGAGCGGCGTCGCGAGTCTCGTCTGCAGCAGGCGTGCCGCCGACGACAGTATCATACTGGAAGGGGATTGGGTTGGTCCATCCAGCCTCTTTGGCACGGGCGAGATCTTTTGCCAGCTGCTCCGCGCGGTCTGCAGCAGCGCCAGCAACGGTCTCAGGCGGATCTTTGTTAGACATGTTGGCAATGGTAGGTAGTGTAGTGGTGGTGCTGAGAGCGAGACAGTAGTTGAGAGACAGGTAAGAAGTGTTTTGTGATTCAAGTGAGGTGAGTAGGAGATTGCAAACGGTTGTTTGCTCAATGCATACTGAAATGGCAGGCACTGTGCGTCACTGCGTGGCTTGGCACGATCCTACCTGCAGACCTTGACGGCGACGACGGGGACAGGTGAGATGCCAGCTGCTTTGTTCAGTGAGGTGAGAGAGTTTTAGGTGAAGTGAGATAGATACGGATGGTCTGTAGTCGTCGTGTGCCGGATAGGTGGGCATTGAGGTTCTGGGAAGCAACTTTCAGCACGAGCAATGAAGAACTGAAGGATGCAACCATTTATCATATGCATGCCTATAGAATAGGGTCATGAGATGATACATGAGTGTTTTCAGATGCCGATCTATGCTATGAGATCACTGAGGGTATCATGGAAGTTCTTCTGTTATTTCATGCAGCGAGAGCGTCCCCCATGCCGGCACTGCGTGACAAGCGGCATAATCACTAGTCAATATGCATCTGTAAGAATCGGAACACTTGCTCAACAGTACAGCCCTGACGAGTAACATATGGCTATTACCAAATACAAGTCAACAAGGGTACCAAGGCCTACGAATAGCGCAGAAGTACACTGCAGGCCTGGGTAGTCTCAAAGCGATAATGGTCGAAGCTGGGAACAGCATCCAAAGTGAAAATACATCCTGTAGTCTAGGCAGCCATCAGGCCAATATAATTTCTGTTCCAACTTTAGCTGTATCCTACAATCAGCCCCCAAGGGGGTTTCGTACACAAAGAAATGGGATCTAATTAGCTCTGAGAATCTCTACGCTCATTAGTTGCACAGCTATACCAATATATCAGGAACCTCCGTAGTATTCAGATAGCGTCTAGTCACGTAACAAACGCTAGAAGCTCCTCCAATCCAATCAGCCCAAAAGCTAGCTAAAAAAACGAGCAAAAAAAAACAAGAAAACGAACTAGAAGGCTAACCAAAGAACCACCCAGAAAATGAGGTAGAAAACAATGCAACAAGAAACAGGAAGGACTCTCTCCTTGACGCTAGACATGAAAGCAAGGGAGGCATGGTTGGAGATTGTGGCCTACAGAGGTCTGTGTCAGAAGGTAATGATCACCGCGGAGCGTACAGGTCACGTTTTGTGCTATCACGTCAAGGCAGTGCCATCAGTGATGGCAGGATAGATCTGTGATAACAGATGAGGAGTCCGATAACAGGACTGGAAGCAATAAGGAGATAAGGATAGATGGATTCCATTAGTACTCTCGCTACAGTCAACTTGAATTGTGCTTTTTTATTAATTACCTTACTTAACAGGGATATTACTTGTCAGTCTATAGCAATATAGATGAGTTGTTGTTAAACCCCGCTATTCTAGCGCATGCCACTATATCGAATCGCTAGACAAAAGTCACAGCATACCTCGTAGCTGCCTCGCCCTAACCAAGACTGAGATAAGTAAGTATATCGCAACTCTGTGTAACAAAGAAGTCAAACGGCCGGGTTTACATAGAAGCTGTTAGAGTTGAAAAAAATCAGTTGTATGGAATGATACGGAGGGCTATCTGAAATGGTTAGATACAATCGCTCGAAAATTGGTGGCAGTAGTCAATGAAAGAGGGAATTTCAAAGCTTCTTCTGCGCTAAAACCCAAAAAATCCTTTCCGTGGTCTCAGAAATTCGAACAGTAGATAGTTCTTGATACTAAGTTGATCTGCATGTAATGTTATACACAAAGGGATGTGGCTGGCTTAACATGTCTCATGCCTACGTCATTGCCTCCTTGCTCGTGCACGCGACCTCGCAGCCGATCTTGTTTATCTCAACTGGGGTACCCACCCATCTGGAATCCCCCAGATTCCCAGAAAAACAAACCCAAAATCCGATATACCCCTCCAAACCATGAACGACCCCGGGCTCGATGAGCCGGCGCAAGAAGCCGCCCAGGATGTCGAAAATAAAATACAGGCCGAAGATGAGCAAGCTGAACGCGAGGAACGGGAGTATCTTGATCCAAGTTATGTAACCAGTATTATTATGACTACGTATTCATGGTTCAATTTGGGCTAATCAAGTAAACAGTCGCTGGTGGTTTGCATCTACAGCAAGTCCACTCATAGCGGGAACCTTTGGTCCAATTGCAAACGGCATGTCCATCTGCGCCCTGGTTGAAAAGTGGCGCGTATACATCCCACCCGGCAGCGACGAGGCCCACGGAACCAAAATCGCAGATCCGAAATGGCTCATTGCGGTGAACTCGGTATCCCTCGTTTTTGCCCTATCGGCAAACGCTAGTCTACTGCTCAACATGTCGAGAAGACTTAAATTCGCTATTGCGCAACCCATTACCATCATTGGGTTTTACATGGCTAGCTTCCTGCTCATAGCGCTGGTTGGAGTGGCTTCGTCGTCGGTCTTTCGTATTCAGCCTATGCAACAACATGCGCTGAGTCAGGCTTTTTACTATGCGATTATGGCGGCTGGGGTTTACTTTATCATCGCGTCTTTGATGATGTTTACGGCTTTTGGAGCGTACACTGGGCATTACGATCGCGAGTTCCGGCTCACAGCTAGTCAGCGGACGCTGATGCTACAGACCATTGCCTTTGTGTGTTATCTCCTCATAGGAGCTCTAATATTTTCTTACGTGGAAAACTGGGCGTTTTTGGACGCAGTCTTCTGGGCTAATTTCACACTGCTTACTATGGGATTCGGCGGAGAGTTTGTGCCAAAAACGCACACGGGCCGCTCTTTGTTGATTCCATACGCCATTGGAGGGCTAGTAACGGTCGGTCTGGTAATCGGATCCATTAGGTCACTTGTGCTCGAGCATGGGAAACAAAAGATGACGGCTCGGTTCACAGAAGTCAAGAGACAGAAGGTACTGGAGTCGATTGATGAGGAAACGAAGACGATACGTATTTCGCTTTTCGAAAAAGTGAGGTTTTGCTCAAAGGGCTTGAAGGAATCGCAAAGACGTGAGCAAGAGTTTCGCGTTATGCGACGTGTGCAAGAATTATCTGAAAGGAAGAGAAGGTATACTGCCTTGGCACTGTCAACAGCTGCGGCGTTGATGCTCTGGTTCATGGGAGCTCTGGTGTTCTGGTACTCAGAAGAGCCACAAGGATTCTCCTATTTTGTCTCCCTCTACTACGCATATGTGTCACTCCTGACGATTGGTTACGGTGACTATGTCGTTCAAAGCAATGCCGGCAAGGCCTTCATGGTATTCTGGAGCTTGGTCGCGGTCCCTACCCTTACTATTCTCATCTCCAACATGGGCGACACGGTCATCAAAGCTTTCAAAGACTTCACAATTTGGCTTGGCTCCCTTACTGTCTTACCCGATGAAGAAGGCTTAAGTGCTGCACTCAAGGTTGGATGGACAAGAATCAAGAAGGGCAAGTGGGACAAGAAAGCCTACCAAGACGATTCTGCAAGCGAACATAAGCATTACACTCAAGACCGACTAACAACATACGCCGAAGAAGCAGAGTTTGGAGACAAAGAAAGGGAAGCAAGCCAATACGATGACAATCTTGAATTAGACACCCACTTCTATCACTACGTCCTCGCAAAAGAAATCCGCACCCTTATAAAAGATCTCGAGACAGAGCCATCCAAGCAATACGAATACCATGAATGGGAATATTACCTACACCTAATCGGCCAAAGCGAAAGCGACGCTTCGAACCACCGGCGGCCCCACGCCCATATCCACTACGACGACGGCGAAGCCCCCGATATCGGGTCTGCAGGCGATAGCAAGCAGCAGCGCTGGAGCTGGCTTGGCCTCCGTAGTCCGCTCATGGGCAACGTGTCCGAACCGCAGTGGCTGCTTCAGAGATTGACTACGACGCTTGAGAGGGCGATGCTTAGGATGAGTCTGGGGGATAGTAAGGCTAAGAGGGCGAGACCACCTGTTTCGTTGCGAGAATTAAGAGGTTCGGGTAGGGGGAAGGTGTCGCAGGAGACAAAGGGAAATATGAGGGTTGAGGGGCGGGGGGAAGAGAAGGATTCTGCGCATTGAGGGGGTGGAGAACGATACTTGTATAAACTTAACCACTGAATCCGAGTCGTAATGTATTATTAAATATATACAGATGAAGCGGTGTTCGCATGGCCAAAAGAGGAGACTCATCCTTTGCAAACCACCTACTTTAATCGTCCAAAATCGGCCCTCAGCTCAACGTCTCCCTCCTCATCCAGTACCTTGCCTCGGTCCCACTCCCTAGCCTCTCCTTTTCCTTTCCAAACCACATCCTCATCATTCTGTCCTTCTCCTCTCTCCCACTTCCTCACTTGTTCGTCTGTGAATCCCGCAGACTTGAGACGTTCGGCGCCCTGTTGCTTCCAGCGTGCGCGGTCACGCAGCGCCTCTAAAGCATCACCCCAGTCGTCTTCATTGTCAGAGTCCGCACGGACGTCGACTTTAGGGTCGTAGGTAGACGAGAAACGTGATTCGATACCCATAGAGTTTGGTTTGAAAGCGCCGCGGCCTTTGGAGCGTACCGTGGGTTCGGAAGATGGCGGAAGCGGGCCGACAATGGCTTCGAGAGGATCGGAATCAGATGCTGGGGAAGCGGCATGCCTTTTGGAGCTTGGACGGTTTTTGTCCCGATCAGATCTACGTTCGGAGCTTTTTTCGGTGTCTCTAGGAGAGCGTCCTCTATGTTTGTGCTGTTTTTCATGCCGATCATAGTGTCGAGGTGGTGGTGATCGGGATTGTGAAGTTGTACCAGAGTATGACCTTCGTCTTCTGTGTCTGCGCTCTTCGCGGTCTCTCCTCCGTGACCTCCATTCACCATCAGAGTCGCTTCCTCTGTGCCTGTGAGCCTTGTCGTGAGGTGACCTTGACCGTCTACGTTTCCGCCGAGAAGAATCCCTCTCGTCATCACTGTCGTATCTCCTTTTGTGGCGCTTTCTGTCTCGGTGTCGGTGGGGCGAAGTATTCTTAGAAGATTCCCGCTCTTTACTTCTTCGTCGTCTCCTATGCCTGTCTTCGTCCTCACTATGGTCACGCCGTCTATCAGAGTGTGTTTTTGTGATATCAACATCCCCTGGGACTGGAGTCAATCTTCCCGGAGCTCTTCTTTCTTGCTCCTCTTCATGGTGCGTCTCTCTTCTTTTGCGCTCACGGTTCATTGTCCTCAGTCGCGCACGAGACTCTTCCGCCTCTTTCGCAAGCAGCGCTGCATTGTGACGGTCGGTTTGACGGATGATGTTTCGTAAGAAGTTCTTGTTCGGTTTTGGGGCGCTGGAATTTGCTCTAAGACAAGTCAGCATTGACCATCTGGATAGAGAGTGTTGTTGTACTTTCAACGCTCATATAAAGCCATGACTGGCACACAGGCTTGGAACGCACCTCCTAGGGTTGAAGGCATCGATGCCGACAAGCTCATATTTCTTTGTTGCGTTCTTTGCGTCTTGCTTCAGTAGCTCTGCAACATATTCGTCGTCGTCTATGTTCTTCGCCATAATTCGTGGTGGTCTTGGTGTCCAGAAAAGGGCGAGGATTGCTAAAGATCAAAGCTCCTGAGATGCTTGGAGAATGATGTGCGATCATTCCAACGAACAACACTAGTCTACATGCGGTAACTGCCGCGGGGAAATCTGCCATCAGATGCCAGCCGCGACCGTCGCCAAAACAAACACTTGAATTCCTTCATACTCTAGAACACAGGATATAGCAAGCAAAATGGGTCCCAAAAGAAAGTCTGCGGTTCCGACACCAGCATCAGCGTTAGAACAGTTACAGCAATCACAGTCGCTCAAGCTCCTGGCCATTGCGGAGACACTGGCTCCAAAAGATCTCCCTCAAACTGGAAAGAAGCGCAACTCTGCAGCATCTGAGGATAGCGAACAGAATAGCGACACACATCCTGCAGCCCTCGAAGCTGATTTGTTACATTACAAAGTAGGCAGGGGGTCTGAGAACTTGTCTTGAGTGGGGTCTAATCACGACGACAGGAACTATTCAGCAAACTCCGCTTCAGTTATGTCGAACAAGTCACCAAAGAAAAGTTCTTGCGCAGCATCACTGAGAACCCGCCTCGTCTCGTTGACGCTCACGAGAACGACGAGAAGGAGAAGGAGATACTGGGCCTGAAAGCAGAGCTCAAGAAGCGCAAGCTGGAGGTGGCCGACATCTTGAAGCAGTTGGAAGACAAGGGCAAGGAGCTCGCGATACGCTACGAGGGCGTGCAGTTACGGACGCAACAGCTTGAGTCTCTTCCAACCGAAATTGAAGGGCTGGAGGCGAACATTGAACGATTGAAGCACGAACAAGCGCCAGCCTCAAC